TGGAGAAACCAACTCAAAACTAGAATAAATATTATAATTATAACCATTAAGAAATCAATCAAATTTAAAATAAATAAATTAAATTTACTAAAAATGAAAATAGATTTAGCACTTATACAAGGATTTAGTAGTTAGTGGATATACAAAGAATATGTGAATTTTAACTTAGGTTATAGTTATCCAAAGAATTCTATGTTTGCATAGAAAGATGAATTAAGGATTAAGACATAATAATTTTAAATTCAAAAAATTTTATATGGTACAATTAATTTTGAGAAACCTTTTTTTCTATAATATGTCTAAGAATACTTAGTTCATTCTTGTAAGGACAAGTTAAGAGCAAGTATGAGATTACCAATCTCAGACGTATTGTGTGCTTGGTAAGTTCAATCCTCTCTCCAGCTTGTTGATCTCAGTCACTCAAGAGCCAAGGTAAGGTCTAAATTCAATTCTCCCTAGTTGTATAATAATTATGGTGAGCATACACTCACCCCATCCCCTGTTCCCAAGATCATCGCCTTACTAGACACGTCAAACTCCGATTATTTCGTTAAGCAAGCCATGTGGATATCTCATTAAGGTCTATAAATACCACTAGGTGTTACCTCGAAAAGGTAATTGAAATCGACCTAAAGCTTATTTTACACTTTTTCTTAAGGTAAACTAGATTATTGCTAACTTAGGTATTGGAGTGTCTACCCTAAGGATCCATCTTGGGGCTTTGCAAGTTAATTCGAAGAGAAGACTTGGACTAAAGGAGACTTGTTGGTTCGTTGTAATAACATTTAGTGTCGTTTATGGGAATATAAATTACAAGTCTTACTATTGCCTCTTCACCATGGTTAATATTCGATTTGTCCGAATTGGAAGTCAAGCTCAACCTCTTGGATGAGGTCAAGGCCAGAATACAAATAGCTTTCCACCACCCACCCCGAACCCACTTGCTCTTATGGAACATGCAGAAGGAGGCAATGAAAACCAATCTCACAATTCAATTCCCCTTCCTAATCAAGGTGATGCAGTAGCAGCTCAACTTGCAGTAATGCAGCAACAATTTGGTATTTTTCAATTGGTTTTGGCCCAGCTCTTAGCTAAGAATAATCTCGGTGATCCTCTCATTAATATGCTAAATCCAACCCAACAACCCCTAGTTCAGCCACAAGAACCACATTATGCTCACTCCAATGATAACCGAGCTACCCCAGCCCTCAATGAGTCACAAGGCTAGTCTCATGTGGTTCCCCCTCAACCACCTCTGTTGGATGATGTTACTCGACAACTGGACAGTTTAGAAAGGATGGTAGCTGAACAACGAGGTGCTCCACCTCTACAGAACAACACTAACTCTATGCCACATCCATTGAACACCAACATAACCCTGGAACCCTATCTTGTTGGTTTCAAGATGTTTCAGTTTGAAACATGATGATGGAACCAAGCATCTAGATGATCATCTACATGCCTTTTATTCTTGCATGCAAGCTCAAAATGCCTCAAACGCTTTGATGTGCAAATTTTTTCCTTCAACTCTCTGAGGTAATGGTCAAACTTGGTACTAGAGCTTACCTCTGAAGTCTATCAGCTTTTACACAAAGATGGCAACTGCCTTTGCTACAAAATTTTCCAATAAAAGGTTAATTAAGAAAACTACACCTGAACTCATGAGGGTTATACAGAAAGAGGGGGAATCTTTGAAAAATTACATGAACAGGTTCAATGACATGATTCTTGAGATCAATTCCTTTGATCAAGCTGTGAGAATAATAGCTATAATTCAAGGTCTCAACCATGAAAGATTTTAAGACAAGTCGATTAAGCATCCTCCTGTTCACCTTTGATGAAGTTAATAACAAATCTCGAAAGTTCATAACAGTTGAAGAATATGCCTTATCGCAGAAGCCAATGCTGGTTCAAAACTAAAATCTGGCTTGGAAGGAAGAAGGGTAGAGAAGGAAACGGGTGAAGACAATTCAAAATCGAGGTCTGATGCCAACCTTTACACCCAGATTTGGAAAATGAGATTCAATAGCTCCTCAACAAACTTCTGGAAAGACACTAGGTACATAGACCCCTGTTAACTTGCCAAGGTCACAACTATTCATGTAAATCAAGAATAAGATGGATATAAAATGACCAACACCAATGATAAGCTTTGCTGCTACACGAGATCATATCAGATATTGTGATTTCTACCAAGACCATGGCCACACGACAAAAGAATATAACAACTTAAGGTTTGAGTTAGAAGGTTCAGCTCAGAGGGGAATGATGAATGAATACATCCAGAAGATAGATTAGCCTAGATTTGTCAAAGAATAGAGATCACAATCACAGGGATCTCATAATACAAATACCAAAGAGGGAGTGGGATATCAACAAGCCTTTCCACCTTTCCCACCCCTAACTAGAATTATTCACATGACTATGGGTGGATTGGAAGCAAGAGGCTTGAGTTCCATGCAACGAAAGCTGTATGTTAGAGAGGTGAAGCACCAAAACTGAACTTAGAAAAAAAGTTTGATGATGTCGAGTGGAAAAATCAGCCCATCACTTTCACATCTGTTGACATCGATAGGGTTGTGACACCTCATAATAATCCATTAGTTATTTCCATCATGATTAACAACTGTGAAGTACAACATGTCCTTATTGATATTGATAGTGCACCTGACATAATGTATTATCATTATTTTGAGAGCTTGGGCCTCGATCAAACTTTGATACAAAGGTATGATGGTCCTATTTACGGCTTCAACAACCAATCAGTTCCAGTTGAAGGAGTTCTTACACTTAATGTGGCATTTGTGCATGGCCAAACTTATGTTACTCCATTAGTTTGGTCCCTTGTTAAGATAACATCTTCCTTCAATGTTGTTATTGGCCGGCCTACGTTGACAGAAATCCGAGCTGTGGTTTCTCAATCACATCTATGTATGGAGTTCCTTATACCTATGAGAATAGTAACTTTGAAAGGTAATTAAAAGGTGGTTAGACATTGCTACATTGCCTTGGAAGAAGGTGACTCAAATGCTAAAGGTTGCTCCATAAGAAGCTTTAGATTGACAATAGGTCATGGGAGTAGAGATACTTGATAATCGACCAGAAGATGAACCTCGAGCTGCTTCAATTGAAAATGTTGAAAAAGTACAGATTGACAATAAAGATCCGAGTAGGAAAACTCAAATTGGGACCCATTTTAACCTAGAAGAAAGGGTAGAGGTAATAGTTTTCCTTCGAGCTAACAAAAATGTGTTCGCTTGGACTTCAGTGGATGTGCTGGGGATCCCAACCTCGGTATCTATCCACAAACTTCACACAAATCCCTTGAAAAGGCCAATTGCATAGAAACGATGTCTCTTTAAGGGGGAGAAACTCAACGTGATTAAGGAGTAGGTGGAGAAACTCCTGCAAGTAGGCTTCGTAAGAAGAGTTGATTATTGTGAATGGGTTGTCAACCCAGTCTCAGTTAAGAAGGCTAACAGTAAATGGAGGATGTGCATCGATTACATTGATCTCAATTAGGCTTATCCTAAGGACCGTTATCCGATGCCGAATATTAATAAATAAGTTGAGGATGCTTTTGAGAATGAGAGATTAAGTCTTTTAGATTCATATTCAGGCTATCATTAAGTCCCGATGGCGCCCAAAGATGAAGAAAAACTTTCTTTCTTTGCTAGTGATGAAATTTACTATTATGTAATGATGCCCTTTGGTTTAAAGAATGCAGGTGCCACGTATTAGAAAATGGTAACCATTGTGTTCTGAGCTTAGATTGGTAGGAATTTGGAAGTTTACGTTGATGACATCATGGTAAAAAGTTTGAAAGCTGAGGATCATTTAGTTGACTTTGATGAAACTTTCAATAATTTAAGGAAGAATAAGATGCAGTTGAATCCAACGAAATGAATCTTTGGTGTGAAGTTTGGAAAATTTCTAGGTTTCATGGTATCTAAGAGGGGGATAGAGGTCAACCCTAAAAAGATTAAAGCAATAGAAGAGATAGGACCTTCGAAGTCGACAAAAGATGTGTAGAGGTTAAGTGGAAGAGTTGCAACACTTCACAGGTTTGTTTATAAGTTAGTTGACAAATGCCTCCTATTTTTCAAGATCATGAGATTAGCAACTCAAAAAGATGAATCAAGCAAGTTGAAAAAGTTTGAATGGACTCTAGAATGCTAAACTGCATTTGACGAGCTCAAGTCCTACCTTAGCTTGCCTTCGTTATTGATGAAAGCTATGGATGGTGAGTTCCTTTCCTTATATCTCAAAATTTTGAATGAGGCAATAAATTCTGTTAGTGAGGGAAGAAGGAAAATAGCAAAAGCCCATATATTATATGAGCAAAGTGTTACATGTGGTAGAACAGAGATACTCAATCATTGAAAATATAGCTTTAGTAGTGGTTACTTCAACTAGGAAACTAAAGCCATATTTCCAGTCTCACACAATAGTTGTCCTCACAGATTAGCCAACTCGACAGATCTTGTAGAAAGCAAAATGTTTAGGCAGATTAATAAAATGGGCAATTGAGTTGAGGGAGTTTGAAATAACATTCCAACAGAGGTCAACAATCTGAACTCAAGCATTACCAGATTTTGTTGTTGAGTGCACCTCTGATCAATCAAGTCTAAATCCTAAGCCATATACTTAGGTTTTATATGTTGATGGGGCATCAAACAATAAAGGGTTAAGAGCTAGAATGGTTCTTGTAGGCCCAGATGGGTACCGCAGTGAGCATGCCTTGAAGTTAACTTTGATGCAACCAACAATATGGCCGAATATGAAGCCCTGTTACTCGGTCCCTAGTTGGCATTGGAGTTGAAAGTTAGAGTAATTTGGATCTACAATGACTTTCAACTCGTGGTCAATTATGTCAACTCAGTTTGTGAGGTAGTAGATTATACTCTAATGAAGTATGTGACACTAGTGTCTGAGCTAAGGTGTAAATTCAAAAATTCTCTCTAAGCAAAATATCCAGGTCAAAAACTGAACAGGCAGATTCCCTTTCAAAGTTCGCATTTGACGGATCTCAAGCCACGAGGTCAGTCTTTGTTGAAGTTCTCAATGAACCCAGTTTTCAAAGCCTAAGGTGATGGAGATCAATGTAGATCCAAACACACCTAGCTAGATGGATCTAATTAAGTCTTTCTTATAAGATAGTTTAGTTCTTCAAGAGAAGCAAAGGGAGATGAGATTAAGGTGGAAGGCAGCTCGGTACACCCTTGTTGATGGAGTCCTCTACAAGAGATCATTCTCACTACCTTTGCTTTGTTGTTTGACCCCTTACAAAACTAAATATGCACTTCAAAAGGTGCATGAGGGGGTTTGTGGCAGTCATATCGGCGCTAGAACACTGGCTCACAAGGTTCTCAAACAATGATACTACTAGCCTAACATGTAGAGGGATGCCAAAGAATTTGGGCAAAAATGCCCAAAATGCCAATTCTTCGAACATTTGACTCACCAACTAATAGAGGAGCTCACAAATTTGGTAGCACCATGGCCATTTGCTCAATGCGGTCTGGATCTTTTGGGTCCATTTGTGAAAGGAATTGGAGGTGTATCACATCTAGTAGTTGCAATTGATTATTTCACGAAGTGGGTTGAAACTTGGTCGTTATCTAGCTTTACCTCTAAGAAGATTGAGGACTTCATCTTTAGTTCAATCATCTGCAGATATGGGATCCCAAATCAAGTCATCTCTAACAACGGAACACAATTCCATTGTGCTTCATTTAAAGATTTTTGCTCCAACTATAGAATGAAGCTATAATTTACCTTAGTTTATCACTCGAAATCCAATGAAATGGTGGAGTCGATCAACAAAGCTATTTTGGAAGGAATAAAACCGATGTTGGAGCAGCATAATGCCAGATGGGCAGACGAGTTCAGCAATGTGCTATGGGCATATAGAACTACCAGCCGAATTGCCGTAGGTACCACCCCCTGATGTGGTTTACTTATATGTTCCTTTATTATATTTTCTATTACTTCAATTCTAGTTAAAAACATATAAAACACGTAAAGTATATGCTAAAATAGTAACTTAACGAAATAAGTGACACACCATACAACCTGACTTTTGGAGCTGAAGCATTCATTCTTGTTGAAATAGGAGTCTCGAGCTTCAGGGTAACCCATTTTGATGAAGTATGAAATGGAAAACTACTTCGGGAAAACCTTGATCTACTTGACGAAGTCAGAGAAAAATTCTAACTTCGAACGTTGTCATACAAGCAGAATGTAGCCAACTTTTATAACAAACGAGTCCATCCTCAAACATTCAAAGTTGGTGACCTGGTTCTTAGGAAAGCTGGTCTAATAGGGTTTGAAACCAGGTTTGGCCAGTTAGCCCCGAATTGGGAAGGCCTTTACATTGTGATCAAGGTGCCACACCCAAGTGCCTATATTTTCCAAGACGCTAAAGGAAAGATGATTCCTAAAGTTAGGAATGTCAACAATCTGAAGTAGTTTTATCCTTATTTCAATCCCTTAATTGAATTTTGTTTGATTTTACTTCACATTTCTTGATTTCTATGTCCCAGATGAATTTGTTATTTTAGTTTAACTGTTGAACTTATATTCCGTTAATGTGAATTCCACCTCATATTCGAGGTGATCGTTGATTTTATTTCCATCTTTATCTCAAACAAGTATAAAATGAAATTGATGAACAAAACAAATTACAAATGCATTACTAAAATAAATGTGTAGAAATTACACTAATGTTTCAAATAAATTGTTCAAATATCAAAACAAAACAAAGAAACCATCAAAACCGAGGCTAGCTATTTCGCCGGAAGAGTTGTTAGTTCACCTCATGTTCTCCTTTGTTGTCAGCCACCTCGACTTCATCCCCTTCTGTTTCCTTGTCCACTACAACGAACTCGAAGTCAAAGTTAGGAGGAAAGATGGTAAGACCTTCATTGTCATGGTCCCACTTCAGCTTGACTTCGGGACGAAAGTCAGTTGTCTTGCTGTCACCATTCTCTTGTACTCCTCCTTCCTGATCTTCGAAGGTAAGGGTGGTCACATTCAGCTCAAGATGATGGGCCTTTACCTTCTTTCTACAGTCCGTAAACGTAAGAATGGTAGTGGGTAGCTGATAGAGGTTAACAATGTTATCAAAGGTGTTGGACTTGAAGAACTCGACATTGTGATTCTCCATAGCATTGTGCACTCAAAGATTTACACTCTTCTCCAGCTCGATAGTGGCTTTTCTCAATTCCGTAATCTCTTTAACTTGGGCAACTATCTTGTCCTTGCACATCTTCCCTTTTCTCTCTTCAAAAACAAGAGTCATTTCAATGACCTATTTTCCTGTTGAATCCACCTGAACTCTTGCAGATCCCTTTCCACCTCTTCCTTGCACCTTCCTAGCTCCTCATTCTCCTTCCTCAGATCATCATTTTGTCCTTGAGGCTTGTGAAAAACTCGTTTGATAGAGCATTCACTAAATTATCAGCTTACACTACGCAACACTGTTAAAGAAAAAAAAGAATTATAATCATCAACTATACCTCAAGGACATGACGAATGACCCAATGGCACCATGGGTCAACACCTCATCCCTTGCGCGACGTAGATCCACCTCAGGAAAAGTAGAGTTAATAAACCTCTTTGTAGCTGATCTACTTTTGGCATCATAGAAGCTGCTTTGCTGCAGAGGTGGAGGAACGAGGGCTTTCCCCTTACCATGGGTTAAAACTCCAACTTTCTTGTTTTTTGGATCAAGCTCAATCGAGGGAGGACAAGGTATGAACTCCACCACCTTTTCTCCCTTTTCCTCATATTGATCTTCCACTCTCTTTTTCTTTTGAGTAGCCCAACTTCTTCACTCCTTTTCTGTTTGAGTTTTAGCCTCGGCCTTTTAGAATTTGGCGCTTGGATTGAGGTGCTGGAAGGCTGCCCCTTTTATTTACCCCCACCTTCACTTAATGAGCTGGCTCCATAGAGCTCAGCTGTGTTTTTAACTTCTAAGCTGGTGAGATACATAATGTCTACAACATTATCACCCTCCTTCACCAACTTCTCTACTTCTTCCTCCTTATCCCTATTCAAACTATACTTATTCTAAGTTCATTTTTTTACTTTCCAAACGGACAACAGTTCCACTTCCGCATCTCTCCTTTCCCACTCAGTGTCATCAACAAAGAAAAATGTTTCCTTCCATCCTTTCATGAATGAGGGGCCTAAGCAAAACAAATTCCTCTTTTCCTTATTAGACCCATGGGGTGTAAAATAGTACCACCCCTTCTCCCTTGTACTCTTAGCCTTAATAAAAAAAAAAGTACTTAAACGTACTTACTATAGAAACCTTGACACCCTGAGCTCAACAATACACTAAGAATGCCACCACCACTTTAATGGCGTTAAGAACAAACTGAGTTAAACCTACATTACAGTCTAACAACAATCCAACCAGAAGTTCGAGAATCGGAAACCTTAGCCTTGCCACCAAATAATGGGCATAAATGGGCATCCAATGATCCTTTGGTGTGTAGCATGCCCTCTTTCCAACTCTAATTGGTCTAACCAAAACCTAAGGTGGAATATCATATGTTTCAACCAAGTGCACTAAACTATCTCTACTATTCCACTCCGCCTCATATTCCTTTACTTCAAAAACAATATCTGTTGACTCCTCATAACACTTATTTTGACTCCCTTCAATTTCTAAATTATTCTAAGGGATCCCTACCTCACCCATTTCCTCCCTACCCATCTCTTCTTCCATCTTCTCTGACCCAAAAGATATAGTTTCTAGACCCATTTCCTCATACTCCATCGCCTTAACTCCTCACTCCCCCTAACACTCAACGTCTCTTTTGATGACATATCTTCCATATCGTAAGTTTCACTAGATAGAGTAAGAGATGGGATGTAGTCAGGATCTTCAATAAACTCTAACTCACGTTCTATATCACTTTCACTTCTAAATCTAACGTCTTTAGGAGGACTTAGATCTAATCAGAAAGAGTGAGAGGAAAATAAAACTCTTCACTAGTATCAGAATCAACAAAACTAATAAGTTACCTAATCTCGGTAGTGCAAAACTTAGCGTTGAATCCAAAAACACTACATGCGAGAGTTCGATAATTTTATTAGCTCTGTTGAAATTTTGGCATCACTTCAGTAGTAAATACAACAAAGTAATAAAAATTTACACAAGTCTAACTATATATACCAAGACGTGTATTGCCCCCAATGGCAACGATTAATTCCATCTGACGATCATAATAATATCGTTTTGAATTCGATGGTTAAGTCCTAATGGAATCCTTTCAAATTCGACAGTTTGTTTTGATTGCATCCTTTGAACTATGACAGTTACTTTTTACAACCTGTATTTATTATGCACGTCCTTCAAGGACAACTGTTGTATCGCGTACTAACTCCTTTTCAAACTTATTGTGTGGGCCCAACTAGGCCCAACCCAAGTCTTTTTGCTTACACCAACATATCTCATATCACTACAAGTGTTCTACCTCTAATTTTCAAGTGATGCATTTTACTTCAGTTACGGTCATAATACCATGACTATGTGTCATGGACTTTTACTTCGGCCACAACCATACTACCATGACTACTTGTCATACATTTCTACTTTGGCTACAGCCATAATACCATGATTACGTGTAATGCATTTTTACTTCGGTTACAGCCATAATACCATGACTAGGTGTCATGCATTTTTACTTTGGCTACGGCCATAATAAGATAACTATGTGTCATGCATTTTTACTTTGACTACGGCCAAACTAGCATGACTTCATGCCATGCATTTGTACCTGCAGGGGCATACATGACTTTCTGTCATGTGATTTTATGTCAACCATTCTTAACTTGGCCATATATGCACTTTACATTCCTTTTAACCACTTAGATCAATCATTCACAAGTGAATGACTTGGGAGGGGGAATAGTGTAAGGACAGGTTAAGAGCAAGTCCAAGATTACCGATCTTGGATGTACTGTGTACTTGGTAAGTTCAATCCTCTCCCCAACTTGTTGATCTCGGTCACTTGACAACCGAGGTAAGGTCTAAATTCAGTTCTCCCTAGTTGTATGATAATTATGGTGAGCATGCCTTCACCCAATCCCTTGTTCCCGAGATCATCGCCTTACTGGACATGTCAAA